ACTAGCATAATTTCAACGTCAAAATCGTCAACAACCTAATATAATAATAAAAAAAACTAATGGTTTGTAAATGAAATATATTGTTTAATATTTATAAAATAAAATAAAAATAGACATGTACCTGGAGAAAAATATATCGATGAAAATGATGAAAATAAATCTTTGGCTGACCATCAACTTGCCTTTGAAATCTAACTCGACCGGACATATGATCTTTCATATTCGGTACAAAAATATCTTTACTAAACAAAAAATCATGATAATTTTCAAAATTCTCAACTATTATCCTCTCGAAATTCCTTCGATTCATCTTTTAATGGTCTAATCAAATATAAGATGTTACCAATATTCTAAGATTTTTGTTGAAAGATAGCTGACAATGCACTTGTTTTTGCCAATAATGTAAATATCAAATGAGCAATGAAAATAAATTCAAAAGTAAACATTTTTTTTTCATTCAAACTTGCACGAGCATCTCGGCTTCTCTGATCAATGTCATCCTCAACTATAACTTTAAGAACATCTGTGAATGCATTCCACATGTGTCGCACATCGTCTCTGATTTCCTTCTCCGGTAACTGGTGGTGGTTGGAGGTCCCAAAAGCAGTGCTTCAGGCAACATCCTCCGGTATCGAAATATCAACAACGGCTCCTTTGTCAAACATCAAAATTTACATCCCTAGTGACCAGTGACGAGGTGGTTGTGTAGTTTCCTCTTCCGGATACGAATAGCTCCTTCGATCTACACTAGAATAGTCTTTCTTCTTCTCCGGTGAGTATGAGGGCAGCGATAACAAACAAAAGCTCCAACCTTCTTTCTTCACTTGTTCTCTTATTCTAGCGATGGAGAGAACGTGTTTTGGCTCAAACCCAAAATATAAACGATCTATGGTAACCACACTTCAAGGTGGAACTCAACTAACACTCAAGGCTTCGAATTCTTACCGGAAACTCTCACAAAGAGACTAAAGAATTCACTAGAAATTCACCGAAAAACTCACTAAAAATGTCATTGGAGCCCCTTTCTCTCACTCTTTCTCTCTATAGTCTCTATCGGTCCTCACTAAATTAATGAGACATTCTAAACTAACTATCAACGTAGCCATCTAATATAATGATAACACTAACCAACTAGCACATACATAACACTCACAATCAACTAATAAGTTAGGCTTAAGGTTAAAGAAGGTAAGAGTTTGAAAATTGGAACGATAGACGGGATATATAATAAACCAAATTTTTATTATTATCGGGCAATAAATTGAATTAGGCCATAAAAGACCAAAATTCTCAATATCTAAACAAAAAATATCAATAAAAACCATATGCAAATCATTTATTTTATATGGAAACTAAACATCTATACTAAAGAGATTTAAATCCAAATTAAACACCACTTACCATGCATCAAAATTTTTTCCTATTAAAATTGGTTAGTGTTTGAGTTTTAATTAAACTAAATATCGAGTTAAAAGGTTATTTATTTAATTATTATTTAATTTATAATGTAATATATATAATTAAAAAATTTTAAAATATGTATTAAAGTATTTTAAAACCTACATTTCAATTATATACAGAATATAAATATCATTAGTAGATAATACTACTATTTTAAAAAATATATTATATTTATTTAAAATTAACATAAATTCATTTGATAAAAAACAGAAAATTTTGAAAATATATAAATGTATTTATTTATTGAAGGTAAAGATTAAAAAAAAAAAAAAAAAAAAAAGAGTAATCTCAGATGATGTATTTTTTCTATGCTAGATATACATCATATTTTCTCTTTTTTGTCATCCTATAAATTTAAGCATAATTTATTTATATAAATAATTTTATGCACTCACTATTTTATAATTTCTACTTTAGCAAATAATAAGTAATATTTGTCTTCCAACAATTTTTTTATCTGATACGATTTTTAATATATATATTATCATCTCAGAAAAAATTAATATTCGAAGTAAATATTAGTTTATATTATATATATTGTTAAGATATTTTAGATATTTGATTTTAGATTTAGTAGATTTATATTTAGATTTGGTCTTATCCATATATTACTCCCTCCGTCCACTTACAATGTTTACATTTATTTTTAGCACGGTGTTTAAAAAATAATAATATTTTAATTATAGTGAGTAGTTAAAAGTAGTGTAATGACATTTTTGTCCTTACTTTTTTGTGTAAAAATAATGATGTGATGTAAAGTATGGGTATTTGTGGAAAAAAAATAGAGTATTTAATGAAATGTTAATTTTGTAATTAGACGTCCCAAAATAAAAATATGTAAACTTTGTAAGTAGACGGAGGGAGTATTACTTAGATTTGAGTTTATCGAGTCCGTTTTGTATTATCTATATATAGGTCCATTTATTTTGATGATCAATAAGACAATCTTATTATTTTTCCTAATAAATTCTAATATGGTATCAAAGTCTATTTTTCTCATGTAGATATAGTCTATCAACCCGCGTTTCTCTAGGTACATTCAACATGAATTGTACTAGGAGGTCTTGTAATTTTGAGATCATGTCTTTGCAAATTTGTCTCTAAAATTGGTATGTTCTACTATTTGTCGTGTGTCTGTTGTCTCTCTGTTGTCTGCGTGCGATCTGAAATTTGTCTGCGATCTTCCATCTGTCATTTGCTTGTCTGTTGCCTAAAATCTGTCTTCGATATGTCATTTGTCGTTGTTTGTCTGTTGTCTGCGTGCGATCTGTTTGGTGTTTGCGATCTGTCGTTTTCTACTCCGGTAAAGAGTTATGTCATTTTCGACTCCGGTGGAGAGTCAATTGTTTTCGGCTCCGGTAAAAAGTCATGTCATTTTTTGCTCTGGTGGAAAGTCAATTATTTTTGGCTCCGGTGGAGAGTCAGCTGTTTTCAACTCCGGTAGAGAGTCATGTCGTTTTCGACTCCGATGGAGAGTCAACTGTTATTTTTATTCTCGTCTATATTCAACTTTCTTATCAAACTCAAGTTGGTTTCTATTATACCACTTGAGTTGGAGAGGAATATTGAGATATTTTAGATATTCGGTTTTAAATTTAGTAAATTTATATTTAAATTTGATCATATCTATTGGGTCAGTTTTGTATTAGCTATATATAAACCTCTTTATTTTGATGGTTAACAATTGCATTATTTTCCCCAAGTTTCCAAGATATACAATGTCTTATAACTTAAATAAAATAAATAAATAAATAAATATTTTAGAAAGCATATTTGGAAAAAAAAAACCACACACCAAACAAACAAACCCTGAAATTTTCACTGCTTTTTTTTACTTACTTTATTATTTTCCTATTAATCCTTTAATAAATTTTGTTTATAATATTTTCGCTTTAATTTTTATTTTTTTTATTTTTTTTAATTATGCTACAATATTAATCCTTTAATAAATTTTGTTTATAATATTTTCGCTTTAATTTTTATTTATTTTATTTTTTTCAATTATGCTACAATAATTGGAATAATTAAAAGCATAATTTCAACAAAATAAAATAAAATAAAATAGAGAAAATTTCAAAAAATGCTATGTATATAGGTATAATTATCATTTCTGAATATGTTTTTCCATTTTCACAATTTATGACATTATCTTTATTTTGGGTATTATTTTTTCCCTCCGGTGCCGGAAAAATGAACGTGAATATCACGTGCATCTTTGTGGCATGGACGGTGCATAAGTGGACATCGTTGTTGCTATGTTGTCATCCACGTGGTCGTTGGACATGTAACGTGGAATTATTTTTTTCACTTTCGCAATTCAGGACATTATGTGTACTCTGAGTATTATTTTTGTCCTTCGGCTTCGCAAAACAATTTGTTCTAAGGTTTTATTTTATTTCAATTTGGTCCAATTTATTTTCAATTTGGTCCAATTGGACCAAATTGAAAATATGTTATTTATACCAAATTAAAATTTAAAATATATATATTTTAAAAAAAAAGTTCACGTTACCTATCCGACGACCCTAGAACAAATTATTTTTTGGCACAAGAGAGAAAAAATAATGCCTGAACTACACATAATGTCCTAAATTGCGAAAGTGAAAAAAAAATAATAATTCAACGTCACATATTCGACGACCACGTGGACGACAACACAGCAACGGAGACGTCCACGTATACGCCGGCCATACCACGAAGGCGCATGTGACATTCAAGTGGGTTTTTCGGCGCCGGAGGGCAAAAATAATGCAAGGAGTACACATAATGTCTTGAATTGCGAAAGTAGAAAAAAATGTTTGAAAATAATAATTGGACCTACATAAAGGACATTTTTTGTAATTTTTCCAATAAAATAATTAAAAGCATACCTTAGAGCAACAACAATAATACAAGTTTCGAATCACTCTTTAATTGCATCGATGATGGTTTTGCAAAATAAAAAATAAAAAAAAATAAATCACACAACGGGTATCACTACAAAAAAAATATACATTAGCGATGGATTTTTGTAAGGAATTTTATATCCCTCGCAAATACCGATGAATTTTGTTTTTACGAAGAAATTTTGTAAGGGAATTAATTAATTCGTAATTAACGAACATAATTTGCAAGGAATTTAAAAATTCTTTGCTATTAGCGAAGAATTTTGCGAAAGATTTATATTCCCTCACAAAATTATAAATTAGTATTTTTATTAATAAATAATATTTTTAAATTATTTTTAAAAAGAATCGAAAGTAAAAAAAAAATTAATTTTCTTAATAAATTTTAAATTTTATTAAATTAATAACAAAATAATTATTATGAAAATTTATAAAATATAATATAATTTTTTATTAAAAAATACAAATATTTTTAAATAAAAAAATAAAATATTTATTTTATTATATTAGTATTATCATTTTTTTAATATAAATACAAATAATAATATAAAATAATTTTAATTACAAAAATATTATTAAAATTATTGATTAAAAAAATAGTTTCTAACCTAGCCGCCATCCCGACATCATCTTTCTTCTTCTTCGTCGTCTTCTTCTTCTCCTCTTTGTTTTTGTTTTTGTTTTCATTTTCTCCAATCCAAGGATTTACGTAAGGAACTGTACAGGAGATTTACAGGTCATGTGCAAATGCTCGTCAGGGTGTTTTCCATTTGTAGTGTTTTTGAAATGATGCGAGAAGTTATACGAGTAGATTTGATATTGTATAAGGGATAGTTATGGATGTGCTTTAACATGTTTTGGATTTGAAATATTTTGAATGCATAAAATTGATGTTTTGTTCGGATATCTTTGGATGTTAAGATTAGTATGTGTAAGTTGTAATAAATGATTTGGTTGACAAAGTTTATAAATTTAGAAATGGATATGTATATACGGAGGCATTTGTTTAAATGTCCAAAAGTATCGCAAGAGTAGTTCTTCTTTATGCGACACTTTGTCCTGTTCATCCATATAAAATGAGTCAAGTTTGGAAATTACAAAACTGTTTAGGCAATACTTGTCATGTTCACTTATGCAGATGATTCCAACATGGGAAGTTTTATATGACTGCTTGTAATAGCAGCAGTGTTGCGATCTTTCGGGTCCTCTGCTTTCATTTGTTTAATGTCCAGTGTGTGCCTAATTACGTCAAATTCGCCCCTATTTTACTGTATCAATTATACTTGAGGCATAGTCATGCAACTGCTAAGTTTTTGGATAATTTGTTCTCTTTCAGTTTTCAATGCAATGTGTGTTAGCTGGTAGTTCTTGCAAAAGTCTTGTCATGTTCCTTGTGAATAGAACATATAATGTTGCAGCGATTTCCAGAGTTTATGTTCATATTTTATTCATTCCATTGTATTGTTCTTTAGATTACTTACTACATTTTGATCAGAACTAGGTTCGGATTAGAGTGAATGAAATCATGTGCGTAATTTAATTTGAACTAGATAGAAGTGTATGTATAGATGTATTGCGAATTGAGCTTAAAAACTTACTTTAAGTGAGCTTTTGAGATTTTAAAAATTATGAGTTCTTTAAATGTTAGAAGAATGTCCTTGTAGTCCCACACTTCTTGTTTTTCCTTGAAACTCTTGGTATATTTGGTTATGGATGATTTACAAAAAGAAGAATTGTATCTCTGCTTAAGGTTTAGAAAAGCTAATTTTGATGCCCATCCACACACCATTGAGCAAACATAGCATGAGACCTTGATCTTTTCTGTTTATCATTTGTCTCTATTGCTTTGAATTTTTGTAATGATATATCCAAGTTATCATTTCCCGAGGCACTTGCAGTCAGCCGGGGAGGCCCAAAATTTATAAACTCATTGAGATGAAACTATAGCCTTTCCTACATATAGAGACAACATAATTATCCTTCCCTATAGTTGTTGCAATTTATGTATGTTCCTTTGTGATATTTCAGTCAGTTAACTAGTTTATATAATTACAGCATCTTTGGATTCTTCGGCACAAACAGGAAATGTGAATGGATTGGATTGGACCCCCATCCATTCCATTCCCTCATTCATTGTATTCTATTGTATGTATCTATTCTCTTCACCTTCCCCCAATTGGTTGCTGCTGGCTCAACTCTCAAGCGATTCATTAATTCATTTTTCATATAAATGTACAGACCGCAGTGCCCTCTCAACTGGATCTTCGTTCTTACTCGAGGGTTGCTGCTGTTGCTGCCATTCATTTTAGCAGGTTCACTTGCTACCGCAAGCAAGCAAGTTAATTCTTGATCTCAGAATCCTCTGTTTGATGGTAAGCTCCTTGCTCACAATTAATGTAATTAATTATGTTTCTTCCATCTATTATAATTCTTCGTGTTGAAAGATACTTTTGTGTTTTCATAGTTCTGAATTTATATACGTATAGCAATTTCTAGGGTTTACAAGCAATGCTTGTTTGTTTGCTAATTTGGGGGTTTTGTTGTCCATTACTGATAATTGCTAAATTCAACTCACTCGAGCCATCTGTATATATATATATTGCTTTCAATTATAGTTTTGTTATTTCAGTTAATGACGTATAACTTTGGCATATGCCTTTTTGCTCCGATGCATCGTTAGATTCTGCTTCAGAAATGTTTCTTCTAAGTTTTGTTTGTTGTTTGCATTGATCAGTAGCTGATTGTCAATTTCTGAAGCTTCGAAGAATGAATGAGCTTATCGAAATCATGGTTTTTAATATTATCTGGATTTTGGGATAACATATATTGTGAAAAGGCATCAAAGATATACAACTTACAACTCATAGGTCTTGAGAAATTAGTAAATTATGTATAGGTAATAGATGAAATTCATGAAACTTTCTTTATAGACGATATTGAGCTGCTTCATGTAAAAATTTCATTATTTAGGAAAGGATAATTTCTTTGTAGACGATAGCGGCCAGCAGAAGACATCTTGTAGAGTTCATTAAGGGTGTGTTTGTTTGAGGGTTTAGATTTTGAGTTGAGATTTGAATAGTAAAAATTTTGAATTTGAATAATTGTATGATGTGATATAAATAGGTGTTGATGTGATATTTTGAAGGTAAAATTAATTTTTAGTATAATATAAAAAATAATAAATAAATGTTTGATTTGATGTTTTTGGGGAAAAAAATATGATGAATAATGGAAATCCAAACAAATCCCTCAACCAAACACACCCTAAAGAGATTTACTGTATCAAGAGAGAGACTATCGTATTACATAGTACTTAAGTGTTTTGGTTGTCTATTGTGTGCTTAAAGTGTATTTTCATTGACAACTTGTGTCTTAGCTTGGGGGTTGAGCAATACAACGTGATGCGCACAGTTCAAGAGCTTTATATATATATATATATATATATACAACTGTCTTGATTTCTAGTGGATTACTCTTAATTGAGATTTGAGGCCCCAAATGTAGGATGGTTTGTATAAATAGGGTTACCAATTTTCATGTTTATTTCTGTGATTTGGAAGGTGTTCTTATTAAGCATTTTCTAATTTATTAAGCATGTGGAAATGAGAAAATGTAGATTGGCTTAAATTTGGGTGGATTTTAAGTCATTGTCAAGCTGAATAGATTGTTGTTTAAAGAAAGGTTATTTCCCACAATAAGTAGAAAACAAAATTGTTCTGCATGATGCTTTATATAATACCTAAAGAATGTCGATGCACTAAGAGAGGCTGCTATGTTTTTGGATCAAAGAAGATGATGTTTCTACAGAATTCAATGGAAAGGATGCAACATGCGTTTGTTTTGATAAACAGCCGTGGATTTTGGGATAAAATATATTGTGAAAAGGCATCAAAGATAACCTGTAGATCTACTTCTCCAATGCTATTTAAATAAAAGTGTTTTTGGATAGGGAACTTTTCGATTGGCATTCTATTAGATCTTTTTGTGGACAAAGGTTTTATTTCTTTCATGTCACCAAGAATCAATTCATTATGTGTCTGAAAATCTTCCTACCCTTTTTCAGCCTTCGATAACTCTTCTAAAGTGCTCATTATATAGCACAACACGTCAATACTTATACGATCTAGTTTTCCACATTTGAGTCCATCTTTGTTCGATATGGGGATTTTAGATCAGGCATAGTGAGCTTGTTGTTTTCAGTGCCTGTACAGCATCCGCTAATTTTGTTGTGATACCATACATAAGTTTTCTGACAAATATTCTGTGATGTATTTGTGTGTCTTTGACCCAAAAACTGCTCCTGAATTAGTAGTGCCTCATGTTGATTTCAATGACATCCTTCGGCTATATTTTGTTAGAACTATAGAAAATAACCTCTCACATACTGTAGTTAACAGTTTTATGTTCTGTTCTTTTAATTGTTTGATTGGTTATCTTATATTTGCTTCTTTATCACATTAGATAGACTTTAAAAGAAAAGAAATATGAAATCTAGAGGAAACTAACTACATCCAGTTTATTACTAGAAGTCATTACTACTTTCCTACTTAAGGTTTATAACCATGCTATCTTTTTATCTTGGTTGGACATCTTATATCCCAATATTGTTCCCTCTTTCTCTCACCCTGGACACTCTGCTGCATTACTATTAATTCATTTTTGGAAATGCGTGCATATTCTATTTTTATGTTTTTTTAAACACCTAGATTTATTCACCTGCTGATTCTATCTTTGTTTTGTGTCTGTCATATGGCAACATCCAAAACTTTCTTCAAGTTGCTTCACACATTGTTCCTTGTCTTGGTCTATCTATGACTGTGATTAAATTCTCTGCATACTAATGAAACTATTTTATGGTTGCAGTTGTAGCTGATGTTCTTATCAATGCAGCTTTAGTTCTGGGAGGTGATGCAACACTAAGAATTCTCTGCATGAAGCTTATTGAGGTGAGCTTATCTCTTTAATTTTGTAGAAATTCTGCTTGTAAGGCAGATAAAGAAGGGAATTGTCTTTGTGGAAGTCAATAGATTACACCATTGCTATTAGCCTATTGTTAACATATTTGCTTTCCTGCTAAGTATTCACTGCATTTATTGGCTATCGTTGCCAACAATAATTAAGTGTGTTCCTTTGTGTTATGTGTGCACCCAATAACCATTCAAACTCCAAGGGTTCGGTTCTTCATTATTCTTTGGGTTTAAAGGGCTACAAACGTTTTTAGATTCTGTTATACCATTCTCCCCTTGATACTCGTCGTGTGAGTTTTCCTTTTCGGTAGCAGCACTATGGCAAGATTGATTCAAACTTTCATCCTTTGGAATAGTAACTAATTCAAAATTATTATTTATCTATTTATTTATATATTTATTTGGTCTTGTTAATTAACTAGTACATTGCATAAAGCATAGAAGCTATGGATGACTCATGAGTTTAAGCTGATATATATTTTTTATTTTGCTTGTTATGCCCCTTATTATCGATCGGAATCATATAATATAGGTGGAGCTAAAGACATGATTGCAATTGGTTCATTGAGTTTATTGTAAAAAAACAAAGAAAATCTCGCAACTGCAGTCCCAATAGGTATTTTCCTTAAATCTGTATTATATTCTCTAGTAGTTTTTTTTTCATTCTTTGATAACAATGAATACATTATGAATAAATTATGATTGATCTATCAAAGAGAAAAATTGTGTATGTTTTTAATATAAGTAATTATTCTTTATTATGAGCTTAATTTTCTTTATATATCCATTCTTGTTTATCAATGTTTTGAAAATCATTTTTAGAAATTTGTATTTTCTGCAGAATATAAATGCGACATGAGTATTACGCGGTCTTGGATGTACAATAGAATGCAAAATGGTATTCTGAATAGGGATTTTATTGTTGGGGTAGACAATTTTCTTAAGTACTGTATGACCAGTCCAGAGGTGTATCGGATCGATGGTAACATAAGATGTCCATGTAAGCGTTGCAAAAATATCAGATTTCTTCCTTTCGATGATGTGAAATACCACTTGTACTCAAGAGGATTCGTTCGTTTTTATGAAAGATGGACATGTCATGGTGAAGAGCATGACGGGAGTGGTAGCTCTAATCAATCAAACAGACAAGTACCAGAAAGTTCTGTTGAACCTACAATGGGTGATTACACCCAAATGGTGATGGACGCTGGAGGTCCCAATTTTGAGGCACGTGTTGTGGAAGCTGAAGAACCGAACCCAGATGATAAGAAATTATATGACCTTCTCAGTGCGGGTGACAAGGAGTTATGGGAGGGTTGCACAAAGGCAACTTTATTATCCGCTGTGGCGAGGATGCTAACTATCAAAGCAGATTTTAACTTGTCTGTGCGATGGTATGATGCATAGTGCCAGCTAATGCACGATATCATGCCAGAGGACAATTGTTTCGTGAAGAATTTTTATGAAACAAAAAAATTGATTGAGGGTTTGGGATTGCCGACACAAAAGATTGACTGTTGTCAGTTGGGATGTATGTTATTCTGGAAAGAAGATGAGTGCTTAGAGTGTTGTAAGTTTTGTGAAAAACCACGTTATCAAGTAAAAAATGGGCGACGGAGGCCGATACGGTACATGTTTTACTTGCCCATCACACCAAGGTTGAAACGTCTATTTGTATCTACAAGGACGGCTTCGTATATGCGGTGGCATGCGGGTCATCATCATGAAAGTGGACATGTGTTCTGCCACCTGAGTGATACGAATGCTTGGAAGCATCTCGATGCACTATTTCCCTCTTTCGGAATGGAGACAAGGAATGTACGTTTAAGTCTTTGCACCGATGGATTCCAACCATTTGGACAATCAGGAAGATAATATTCTTGTTGGCCCATAGTTGTGACACCGTACAACCTTCCCCCAAATATGTGCCTGAAAGATGAATATTTGTTTCTTTCTGTCGTAGTACCGGGTGGTGCAAATCCAAAACAAAAGATTGATGTATATTTGCAGCCACTTATCGAGGAGCTGAACATGCTATGGTGCACTGGAGTTGAAACATTTGATGCATCTCGTGGACAAAATTTTATCATGAAATCTGCACTATTATGGACAATAGGTAAAAATATGCACATTTCTCTATAAGTAATTGTCCTTAAATTTTATGTTAATAATAAAACTAATTTTTCTAGGTGATCTACCTGCCTATTCGATGATGTCTGGGTGGGGGACCTCTGGAAAGACTGCTTGCCCGATATGTCAGGAACAAACACTGGCTTTCACTCTATTAAATGGTTGCAAGCAGTCGTTGTTTGATGCTCATCGTAAGTTTCTTCCCCAGAATCACCCGTACCGTTTTGATCGAAAGAAATTTAAAAAAAGGAATTACCGACTTCAATCCCCCGCCGCATATCAAAACGGGAGTGGAACAACTCCAAGAGATAAATGGTTATGGGTTTCTGAAAGTAACAAAGTTAGATGCTACTAATGTGAATCAAAGGCTTGCCTGTGTGTGTGGATGGCAGAAAAGAAGTATTTTCTGGGACTTACCTTATTGGAATGATTTATTGGTACGACATAATATGGATGTTATGCATATTGAGAAAAATGTATTCGAGAATATATTCAACACGGTAATGGATGTGAAGGGTAAGACAAAGGATAATGCAAAGGCACGGGCGGACATGACAGAACTTTGTGATAGAAAAGAACTCGAATATGACATTGTCCGTCAATACTACCCTCCAGCTGCGTATACATTGGATAAACCTCGTAGGAAAGAATTCCTTACGTGGGTTGAAAAGTTGAAGATGCCTGATGGATATATGTCCAACCTCGGCCGATGTGTGGACATGACGAAATATTGGTTGTTTGGAGTGAAGAGCCACGATTGTCATGTCTTCATGCAAAGGCTCATTCCAATTGGGTTTCGAGAGCTCTTGCCTAAGAAGATTTGGGAGCCACTTACCGAGTTAAGCAACTTCTTTCGTCGGCTTACGTCAAAAGTTGTTACTGTTAGTGATATGGAGATGTTAGAGTCTGAAATACCCGTGATCCTTTGCAAATTGGAGACAATATTTGTTCCAGGTTTCTTTAATAGTATGGAACATCTTCCCGTCCATCTACCACACGAGGTGAAAATTGCTGGGCCTGCTCAATTTCGTTGGATGTATCCTTTCGAGAGGTACATAGAATCAATCTGAAATATTCTTTCATGTAACCTTTAGTGTATACTTAAACCTGTTTGCATAACCTACACGACAATGTTGTTTTCTTTTCATAGGTTTTTGAATCGTCTCAAAAGGATGGTTAAAAATAAGGCCCATGTTGAAGGGTCAATTGTAAATGCATATCTCGTAAGGGAGGCTAGTTTCTTTTGCTCGCACTATTTTGAAAAACACGTCTATACGCGTGCGAGGAATGTTCCTAGACAAGATGACGGTGGTGCACCTATTTATGGAAATAGTGATACATTGCCTGTATTCAACCATCCAACCCGATTGCAAGGCAAACCCAAGAAACGGTTTCTAACTCTTAGAGAACGGAATGCAATTCAGACATACTTTCTCCTGAATGTCCCCGAAATAGATCCGTTCATATCGTAAGCTTTTTGGGTTTCCTGATTACAATTTTTGTCTATATGTTATTATGTATTAGTGAAACTTGATGTTTTTACTGTAGGATCTTTGACAATGAATTGAGGCAATCGAATCCACGTATTTCAGAGGTCGAGGTTGTTTCGCAGCTTCAAAAGAACTTTATAACATGGTTCTACGAATATGTATGTATTTGGTGTTGACATACAATTACTTTACTGCTCTAGTAATATGGTATAATTATCTACTTCTCTATGTTAGGCGGAGAACCAACATGCTTTGTATTAAAATTTTCAAGATATTGCGCACGGCCCTTTGGTGGAGGTTACCACATATCCAATTTGTTTTATCAACGGTTACCGTTTCCACACGGAGACACATGGATCAAGCATGTCAACTTATAACTGCGGGTTTGCGTAGATGCTGGAGGGTTAGAGTATTATGGAAATATTCAAGAAATTATGGACGTTGAGTTTCATGCACTACCCATAAAACGATGCATCTTCTTTCGTTGTGATTGGTTCGAATCCAACTAGTGGTGTCGGAACAAAGAAGCATGAAAATTACAACTTGGTTGAGGTAAACAAACGGAAAAAATTATACACTTATGAACCTTCTATACTTGGGCTGCAAGCTACGCAAGTCAGCTATATTTCATTCCCAAGTTTGAGAAAGGACAAAGATGATTGGTTGGCAGTTTGTCGGGTGAAACCTCGAGGTTGGATTGAATTGGTAGACAGAGAAGTGTTCACTTAACCAGAAACTGAGACGTACCAAGATCCAGTTGTTGAAGCATGCATGATTGAATCCGTTAGAATCCGGGAATCTATAAATTTGGTATCAACAGGTGGCGGAGTTGGTATACCCTTGCAAATGTCTGATGACTCTGATACAGAGGAAAAAGTCTTTCTTGAGACATCTAGTTCTGATGACAATCAATTTACTCCTTGAGTTCGGATGATGATGTGCCTTCTGACTAGGTTATAACTTTATAAGATTTAATCTTATTTATATTTTCTCATAATTCCGAACTATATTTAAGATTTTTGATAATGTACTTTCAATTGTAGATGCCGCAAGGATCCAATGAAGAACAACGAAGCCAGAACATCCGCCGTCTGGCAAGGTCACAAATATTGTTGTGGCAGGCGAAAACGCAAGAGGAGCAACATGAGCCGAGTTTTTCTGAGACCCAAGTAGGAGAAGTGTCAGGTAAGAAAGATATAAAAATTTCAATATCTTTAAAGTTGTGCAAATATAAATAAAATTCATAACTATTCATTATGCAGGTATGTCTGCAGATGCTACATCGGCCGAGAATACACATGCTACCACATCACGTAAGTAAATTTTATGAGAATGCTATAGTTAATTTTTTTTAGATTACATGAAGCTCTTATTCGAACAGATGTTGGAGATTCTCAAGCGGATATTGTTGTTGGAGACGACCCACGTATCGAAGTGAGAGTCGAGTCGGGTGGGAGGTATGTTTTTGTCTAAGATCTTTTTGCTAGCATTCAACTTGGTATTGTAGTATTAATTTAAAATGTATAAAACTTACAGCATCTTCTGGCCACGTGATGCTTCGATTAAGTTCCAAGATGTTTTCAAATCAAAATTAGTGAAGGAAGGAAGCAAGTGGCTCTCCGTACTAGAAGATACACGCCGGTGGTATACGACTGAGATGAAGGTATGTCAACTAATTATGTGAATTCTTAACATACTAATTTAGATTCACTTCCATTTCTTCTAATATTTTTGTATTGTGTATTCTAATCAATGCAGAAGTACATCAGGTGGGATCCGGCTCATGAGGAAAAAGTCATAAAAAAACTTAATACTAGGGCACAAGAGGCCTATAACAAGTGGATGAGTGATATTTGAGGTGGGTGGGATAAAACCGCACACAAGATTATTCCCACTGCGGTGCTCGGTGCATGGAAAAGGGCTTGGAGCTCCAATGATGCACAAAAAAGGTCAAAGACTGCCAAGACTAATAGACGTCGGGGCAATTTAGCAAATAATCTAGAGTCGACGCATACCGGGGTATCACGCTCGTTCATGGAGACGACAAAAAAGTTGGTTAGTAGTAATTTTACTTATATATAATTGTGTATTCTTTTGTTTTGATATTCGATATGCAATGCAGAATCTTGAGAAATGGGGAACGTATGAGTGGGCTCACACGAGGAAGCACGATAAAAAATCATAGTGCAACACGAAGGCTACCCGAGTAGCGGTATGAAAATAATATGTTTTAAAGCACTATTTAAAGTATTGCATATAATTCATGAATATATTTGTATTTTTAGGATGAAATGAAACATATTGAAGAGGGGATGTCCCAACTTGGGGACAATGACTATAGCATATGTTTGCTTTTGGTGTTTTCTGAATTGATGGAATGTTTGCTTCATATTTTGTTTACTTTTGGTATTTTTTGAATTGATGGAATGTTTGCTTCATATTTCGTTTACTTTTGGTATTTTCTGAATTGATGGAATGTTTCCTTCATATTTCGTTTACTTTTTGGTATTTTCTGAATTGATGGAATGTTTGCTTTATTTTATGTTATCATATGGCATTGGAGATGGAGTTTATTTTGTTTACATGGTGCTTACTATTTGGATGGTTAAAATGATTTCTTATAATGTTATTTTGTACTTGTTTGAGACAAGTGTACGAATTTAAAATAAATATATTGTTAGTTTGTAATTATTTTGGAAGTATAGGAATTTGAAATGAACTACTAATGATAATTTGTAAAATGATTTTCAATGGATATTTGAGAATGAATGAATTTCCTTGCAAATTTCGAATTAATTTGCGATGGATATTTGCGAAGGAATGAATTTCCTCGCAAATTTTGAATCAATTTGCGATGGATATTTGCGAAGGAATGAACTCCATCGCAAATTTCGAATCAATTTGTGAAGGAAAACTATATCTTCGCAAAATTCCTTCGCAAATATTTGCGAAGGAATCGATGCTTCGCTATGTTTCCTCACAAACATTTGCGAGGGAATTTTTCTTCGGATCCAAATTAGCGAGCAAGTGTATAGCGATGACATGTATTCCTTCACAATTTCCCTCGCTAACATGTTTTGCGAAGGAAATAATTTGATTTGCGAGGGAATTTTTCCCTCGCAAATCAATAGTTGTTTGTAGTGTATTAAATCGACTCCATTTTGTCCATGCCTCTCCCAACCAGTTTGGACCAGTAGAGGGTCAATCCATTGTACTTTTTTTTTTCTCTCTCTCCCATTTCTCTTTCCTCTTTATTGTTTTAATGGAAGAAAAATATGGGGTAAGCAAGCTTGAAAATCAGAGGACTCCCGGTGGATGTGAGAATCGATGGACGGAGATTCGATAGCAATGTACCAAATGGACTGCCATTTGTGTCCAGGCACAACCACAATATCGTAGCGGTTGGAGCCCAGTAGACTTTGTAAGTTACTACCCTATTGTTATTACAGTTTTTACTTGTTAACTTCGTATGAATGTTTTATATTAATAGTAATTGTGTCATATGAAAGCTATTGTCAACATACGTTTGTTGAAAAATACAAGATGGTCTTCAAGTTCGAGTTATGTTGGCATGTCGTAAAAGATCAACCGAAATGGTTGGAATTTGTTGTTGGTAAGAAAAGCAAAACATCTTATCGGCTATGAGGTTGAAAAGAAACAGCCCGAGAACACTCCTGCAGTTGACAATGTTGATGAACCTTCTCCAAGGACCTCTATTGATTCAAGCACTGGTGCCAGACAAATTGGTCAAGATACAAACACAAGAGCTCAATTTTCGCCAGATATAGACGGGTCTGCTGCGGTTGATTTAGAACGCCCAAATGGTGTTAAACGAGCCAAAGATAGTGACAAACCGAACAATCAAAAGAAGCGTAGATTAAAAAGACTTGAGAGTCTCAAGCTTGAGTAACCAAAAGAATCACTGCTGGTCTAATGACTATGGACTCCGCGAGTCGTGAAACGTGGTCAGCATCGCAAGCTTTTGAAAGCCAAAAAGAGCAAAAGAATGATGAACGCTTGGTAATAAGATCTGAGAAGGAGGAAATTTTCTTATTTCTGTCCAAGACAAATATTTTTGTTAACTTCTAGTATGAGCCCACATGAATATCTTTAAAAACACTGATTGTTCTTCTGTTAGCATAAAATAAAAATGGCTCGAGAAGCTGGTTTATTGACCAAAGAGCTTGAGGATATCGGCGAAAAGGTGATCGCAGCGTTGGAAAAGTTTAAGGAGCTGGATCCTAATAATTTGGTGACAGAGGTAGACGTAAGACGCTACGCAATAAGAAAACAATTGGTCGAGAATTACGAAGCCACTTTTGAAAGTGCGTACGTATGTGTGCAATATTTTTGTAAAATATTATTTTATTCCTAACATCTATTTTTTTTATTTTTTGTAGGGATGCTTGAAACCTTAACTGCGAGTCGGGCGGCGAGTTCGAAAGACACCATGGAAGTTGGGCCAAAAGTCATGCATGGTGAGAGTAGGAACCGCTTGTTCAATGACAACAATACTGTCGAAGGTACTTAATGACACTATGGTTGGACTGCACCTAAATTGAGATTGGGGGAACTATGTTGATGTTTTGCTGTTTTTTTATAATTTATGAGGTTAGATATTATTTTTGAAATTTGCATATCTGATATGGCTATTGTTGTGTGGAGAATTGTGTATATGTTTTAACTATTAGGTGTAGAATCGTTTATCTTTTGGGTGGTAGTATACTATTCTCGCCAAATATACATTCTGTTGGGGCAATTAGCAGAGAACAACATATATTTTGATATTGCTAATGTTAACGTGCATGTTTTGAATATAATTATCTGGTTTTGCTTAGTTAAAGTTTCTGGGCTGGTTGATGATGATTTGATATGCTTTTAAAGTGTATAGCTTTGTTTATTTTAAATTTATGATGACAATCCTGATTTTGAAAAATATCATCATATTATTGTATATTTTTGTTATAAGTCATCATATTAAATGAAACATATACTATTAGTATTGAAAGAGCTAGAATTAATGTTTATCTTGAATTGTTGGGAATTATAAATAATGCAGACAAGCACAAAAGTGGGCATGATAGTAAAGACCTATGGTCATTACATAACGTGCGTTTTCTTTGTGGTTCGATATTAATTTAGAAAGCTTAATTGGAAAGCTACAGCTTTGCACCCATACCAAGAGCCGAACGGTCAAACGGAAATTTCAAGAGTTTTAAAAACAAGTGCGTTGTGTTGCATTACATAATTAATGTAACAATATGCAACTTATACGTGTTTGCCACCGTAAAGCATCCATTGATGATTCATAAGATCTTCCCGCAATTGATCATTTACTTCCCTGTTGTGAATTCTTCCCATTCGCATTCGGTATAAAAGACGGACTTCATCGACGGTTGCATCAGCCATAGGCATGCTTTGATCTTCTTCCATGGGAGGTGTCCATTCCGATAAATCTTGGCCATGTTCATCTTCGACAACCATGTTGTGCAATATAATGCTCGTAGTTATTACGCGAAGCAAGTCGGATGTTTTCCTTAGCCTCGCCGGCATCTGAAAAATACGTCATATATGTTGCAAAATACCGAAAGCCCGTTCAATGTCCTTACGACGTGCTTCTTGCAACATCGTGAAAGCTTTTTCTTTGGCGGTCACAGGAGATCTCACCGCCTACATGAATACGACGTGCCTAGGATATATACCATATGTCAAGTAGTATGAGAGGTTATAGCGTGTTCCATTCACCTCGTATTCCACTTGAGGTGTCGTGTCATCCATGTATTTATTGAACAATGGAGAATAATCTAACACTGTGACGTCGTCGTTTGTACCGGGCATACCAAAAAATGCATGCCATGTCCATAGGTCCTCGGAAGCAGCAACCTCCAGGATAATTGTTGGATATCCATATCGGCCGTTGTATTGCCCTCTCCAAGCAATAGGACACTTATCCACCGCCAATGCATACAATCTAGTAAACCTATTATACCTGGAAAACCACGTTGCACATTTTCAGCCAATAATCGGGACATATCCTCAGAAGTCGGATCTCGTAAATATAGTTGTTTATAAAGGGTGATCATTGTATTGAAAAACTCCATGGTTGCCTTCTTCGTTGTTGACACGCCTATTTTTATGGCATCGTCAATATTGTCAAAACTCAAGCCATAAGCAAGAATGCGTAATACCGCCATAACTTTTTGGAGGGGTGAAAGACCCATCCTACTTGTACAGTCACTAAGTTGTGTGAAGTATGAATTATAATTACGCACAGTCGATAGAATTCTGTCGAAAATGCACCGACGCATACGAAAACACCGTCAGAAGTAGGACTCTAGGAAACGAGGTGTGTCGGACAAGTAGTCGGTCCAGAGCTTCGCATGTCTCCCTTCCCTATCTCAGTAAATATAGTTCCTTCGTGCCGTTGTTGTCGTGATTTCATACTGAGATATCTGAGGGAGTGAATCTCGTAGCCATTGAATGCTCATCTGATCTTGTTGAAGTAACCATTGTCCCCTCGTGCGCCTCTCCTTCTTTTCACACCTATTGACAGACCATAAGTAAGCCTCCTCATCGCAAAGATTAACTTCGTCATCCTCTCTCTCCATCAATGAGGCTGCCGAAAATATTAAACCGGACAACAATTTTCAAATCGAAGCAAACGTTTGAAAGTTACACTGAATATCGAAACAAGAAAATGACCCAAAAAAACTTAGTAGTTGTTTATTAACCGAAGCATATATTATAACTTACACTTGTTCTTACCTTTACAACCAATAATCGACAAAGCGACGCCTATCTCTATACAACCATTAATCACCTCTCAATAACATGTTATATATATAGTTGTAAGGTTGATATTTACATTAATTTTGGGGACCACGTGCAGTATTTTTTTTATGAAATTATACTAACATTGCAGTACCATATCTTCATTGAAGGAAAAAAAAAGTATTCTATACTTCGATCATTATAATTTCTTGTTGATGTGCCTCCTTGAAGAATCTCTTAACAACTTCATGGGCATCGTTTGATAGGCTTAAAATACAACAAGCAATTCATGGCAAAGAAGAATAAATCCTGCAAAAAAGATTTCAACATTCAGAATGATTACAAATTGAACAACCAAAAAATGACCTTTTGCAGGGAGAATTTGGCAGCACACATTATATATATTACCAATTGTATAAATCTGTGAATATATACCTTTATTTTCTCGAGCAACTCATAGCCTGTAACTCCATACCTATGGTATTCTATAGTGACAAATTTCACTTTCACTGTCAACAAGAATATATATACATATGGAATTGATGTTCTTCAAGATTGCTCCTTTTTTTTTTTTTTTTTTTTTTTTTATCTTGATCAGAATTAACAAAAAAAAGAAAAAGAACACAATGGAGTGGTTACAAATAATACATAAACTAACATTCTTACA